GCAATTCTCCAGTCCTCCAGGACGTCACCCATGCTCAAGGATGCTGCAAAGATATCTGTTAAGGCCCCAGCTATTTCCTCTCTCACTTCCCTCAGAAACCTGGGATAGATCCCATCCGGACCTGGGGACTTGTCCACCCTAATGCCTTTTAGAATACCCAACACTTCCCCCCTCCTCATGCCGACTTGACCTAGAGTAATCAAACATCTATCCCTAACCTCAACATCCGTCATGTCCCTCTCCTCAGTGAATACCGACGCAAAGTACTTATTAAGAATCTCACTCAATTTCTCTGACTCCTCGCATAACTTCCCTCTTTTGTCCTTCAGTGGGCCAACCCTTTCTCTAGTTACCCTCTTGCTCCTTATGTATGAATAAAACGCTTTGGGATTTTCCTTAACCCTGTTTGCTAAAGATATTTCATGACCCCCTTTAGCCCTCTTAATTCCTCGTTTCAGATTGGTCCTACTTTCCCGATATTCTTCCAAAGCTTCATCTGTTTTCAATCACTTAGACCTTATGTATGCTTCCTTTTTCCTCTTTGCTAGTTTCACAATTTCACCTATCATCCATGCTTCCCTAATCTTGCCCTTTCTATCCCTCATTTTCACAGCTACATGTCTGTCCTGCATTCTAATCAACCTCTCTTTAAAAGCCTCCCACATATCAAATGTGGATTTACCTTCAAACAGCTGCTCCCAATCTACATTCCCCAGCTCCTGCCGAATTTTGCTATAGTTGGCCTTCCCCCAATTCAGCACTCTTCCTTTCGGACCACTCTCGTCTTTGTCCATCAGTATTCTAAAACTTACGGAATTGTGATCACTATTCCCAAAGTAATCCCCTACTGAAACTTCAACCACCTGGCCGGGCTCATTCCCCAACACCAGGTCCAGTATGGCCCCTTCCTGAGTTGGACTATTTACATACTGCTCTAGAAAACCCTCCTGGATGCTCCTTACAAATTCTGCTCCAGCTAAACCCCTAACACTAAGTGAATCCCAGTCAATGTTGGGAAAATTAAAATCTCCCATCACTACCACCCTGTTGCTCCTACATCTTTCTATAATCTGTCTACATATTTGTACCTCTATCTCACGCTCGCTGTTGGGAGGCCTGTAGTACAGCCCCAACATTGTTACTGCACCCTTCCTATTTCTGAGCTCTGCCCATATTGCCTCACTGCTCGAGTCCTCCATAGTGCCCTCCTTCAGCACAGCTGTGATATCCTCTTTGACCAGTAATGCAACTCCTCCACCCCTTTTACCTCCCTCTCTATCCCGCCTGAAGCATCTATATCCTGGGATATTTAGTTGCCAACCTTGCCCTTCCCTCAACCAAGTCTCAGTAATAGCAATAACAACATACTCCCAGGTACTAATCCAAGCCCTAAATTCATCTGCCTTGCCTACTACACTTCTCGCATTAAAACAAATGCTCCTCAGACCACCTGTCCCTTTGCGTTCATCTGCACCTCAGACAACCTCATCCAAGGGAAGCCCTGACATATGCTTGTCTGGATCCAATCCCAGTAGATCAGAGGCTGGAATCCACCAAACTCTCTAATCTGGCACTCAAAACCTCCATGCAACAGTCCAATGCATCCAAGGCTTTGTATTCATAATTTCTTTTGGCATTATACCTGCAGATGTGCCTTTAAGTCAAGTATGCTCGAGACCACATTACAATTTGGCACTGAGATAAGTCGCTTTAATGTGTAACGTCCTGCTACAAATGCTGGAAGATGTCCTCACTAGCTCAACATCATTTTACAATCTGAAAGAATCCTTTCTAAACAAAAAAATGAGGCCAACAAATTCTTCAAAGTTCATTTCTTGAGCCTTCACTTTAAATCCTCAGTTTCTGAGAGTACATTCATGGCCTGCGCCTGTTTCAGGCAACAATCATCATCTTTCCCTGAAGTAAAGGCACTTGTCACATCTGCCTCTTTATCTGGCTCTTCTTCCTGTATCTCATTTTGCAAAGAAAAGAAAAAGAAAGTTGATGACAGACGATAAAATGCTATAACAGATTTACTGACTGCAAGATTATCTTTGACCCCACAAGAAGCAGAGAAGCAAAAAACTCTATCAAAACAATCCAACAACAACAAGCCCACGGTACTTCTGCTCCCAAAAGCCTCCACGATGAACCTCGCTCTATTGCTTCCTCCTCAAAGTATGTCAGAGACTTGACATCTGGGCATACTCACAGGCTCATTCCCACATTACAAAACAGGAGAATTTAAAGTATGTAAATTTTCTATAATAAAATTCAGCAAAACACCTTAGTAGGTGAGAATTCATTGGAATGTCAGATACTGAGAGGCAGCAAGAATATCAGATAGCAGCTTCAGTTAAGTAGAGGGACGAATGACATTGTGTTTGTTCTCCTTAGAGCAGCGACGGTGAAAGAGAGATTTAATATAGGCTTCCAAAAATCATAAAAATTGATAGATTAAATAGGAGAAACTATTCCCTGTGGCAGGAACAGTTGGTAACCAGAGGACACAGATTTCAAATAATCAGCAAAAAAAAAGGCCAAGTAAACGAAAATAAAAGACTCTGTGTAATCAGTTATGATCTGCCTGGAAGGCTGGTGGAAGCAGCTTCAAAAATAATTTTGAAAAAGAAATTGGCAAATTCTTGAAAGAGAGAAGTTGTAAAATGAAGGAAGTGTGACTCTCTAAGTCTAATTGGAAAACTCCGAGCCAGCACTGGCATGATGAACAGAACGGTCTCCTTCAAAGCTGTAAGATCCTACGATAACAGCTGAATATTTTGCAAAAAGAAACTGGAGTAAAAGTTTTAAAGGGACATTTGAATTGTTGGATTGCATTCAAGCCTTGCTCCACCACCTAGTTACACAGATTTCAGCTGATTGCTAATTGATTACTGATTACTAATGTCTCTTTCCCAGTGAAGCTGTTAACAGGATGGATTTACTTTATTTGCATAGAGCAACCACTGTTTGTCTTTATTAATTACAAAATAGCTTAGGTACTGTTATCTCCTCTTCATTTAACGGAATTACTGTAGTGGCTGGATTAATGAGGTACAGCAACAGTGCTCTCTAAGATAAACTCATTAGGTATGGAATGTGAAAGCCTGCTTAAGGACTGCAAAACCTTGTTAAGTATTTGTTATTCACAACATTTTGTGCTACTTTCCAAACGTGATCTCCAAATGTGGTCTCGAGCATACTTGACTTAAAGGCACATCTGCAGGTATAATGCCAAAAGAACTTATGAATACAAAGCCTTGGATGCGTTGGACTGTTGCATGGAGGTTTTGAGTGGAGGTGAGGCTGGTGGGTAGGAGGTGGGGGTGGAGCTTGAGGTGGGAGGAGTGGATAGGTGGGAGGAAGGATGGACAGGTTAGGGAGGTGGGGACGAGTTGGGCTGGTTTTGGGATGCGGTCGGGGGAGGGGAGATTTTGAAGTCCACATTGATACCATTGGGCTGCAGGGTTCCCAAGTGAAATATGAGGTGCTGTTCCTGCAACCTTTGGGTGGCATCGTTGTGCCACTGGAGGAGGCCCAGGATGGACATGTTGTCCAAGGAGTGGGAGGGGGAGTTGAAATGGTTCGCGACTGGGAGGTGCAGTCGTTTGTCACGAACCAAGCATAGGTGTTCCGCGAAGCGGTCTCCAAGCCTCCGCTTGGTTTACCCGATATAGAGGAGGCCACATCGGGAACAGCGGATACAATATACCACATTAGCAGATGTGCAGGTGAACATCTGTTTGATGTGTAAAGTCTTCTTGGGGCCTGGGATGGGGGTGAGGGGGGAGGTGTAGGGGCAGGTGTAGCACTTCCTGCGGTTGCAGGGAAAAGTGCCGGGGGTGGTGGGGCTCCTACCTACCAGCCTCATCCCGCTTCCTTGACCTGTCCGTCCTCCCTGGACTGACCTATCCCCACCCTAACTCCCCACCTACGCTCACCTTTACTGGCTCCATCCCCGCCTCTTTAACCTGTCTGTCTCCTCTCCACCTATCTGCTCCTTTATCCATCTTCCATCCACCTCCCCCTCTCTCCCTATTTATTTCAGAATCCCTCTCCCATTTCTGAAGAAGGGTCCAGACCTGAAACGTCAACTTTCCTGCTCCTCTGATGCTGCTTTGCCTGCTGTGTTCATCCAGCTCTACACCTTGTTATCTCAGATTCTCCAGCATCAGCAGTTCCCACTATCTCTGAATCAATTTTCACCCCTACTTACAATATCTTGCAACATTGTTGGTGTATTGTTTCGAATTACAGATTTGAATTTGTTTAAAATAATTTTAAATGGATTTTGTTTTTTTTTTGTCATGACATAATTAAATTGTGTCCATAATTTAATTGCTGGCCAGCCAGTGATATCCAAATCCCATGAGTGAACATATCATAAAAAGGGACAGGGACTAGAAGCCACCCTTTAACCAGGACTGGGGCTAGAACCTGCTCGTTCACGGAGACTGCTGTAACACAAGGTATCTGATGCAGCAGCTATAAAATGCATAACCCGGGACATCAGCTAAAGCATGTTACTGTATAATACAAACTTAGCATCACTCCTGTTTAACTATAATTGTGTCAGCCTGAAAACCGGAGAAGTAAAGCCTGAGGGGATTTCCACCTATTTTGTTCTATGTAAGTTAGATGTGGTGGCAACAAGAGTACTTAATGACAGTCGGGGATATGGCCCCTACCCAAAGAAGAAGAGGATATTATAGGAATATGGAAGTAGCTGTGCTCAGTAGGGCCAACACAGTTAGTGCAGCTACTGTATAGAGTGTTGTTCATGGTTTTCTGATGTTTTCGTGTAACTTCCTCCATGAACTGAGAACCTTTCCCATCCGGAACAAAATTCTCTCGTTGTAAAAATATTAATATACAAACAAAGTAAGTTTTCATAAGTATGGCACTGTTAGTTTGCACCTGAATGTTATTGGGGATTGATTAGCGGAACGGGTGTGAAAGCGGGTTTGTTGGTGGCCGGACCACTTTATACACGGAACCGGTCTCCATGTGAACAGGAGGAAGCTTCATTTCCGGATTTGCTGAGTTGATTAAAAGTGGTTTATTTTGCGTGAAATCGGTGCCGGGATCTGGAACCAAGGGAATGGCTAAAGTGTTAAAGACGTTGCGCAATCACTGGAAGAAAACAGCGGCCGGGGTTTGCGGACTGAGCTGGGGAGCGCACTGGGTGCACAGGAGATACCGGTATTAGAGAATCCTTCAACCGGGGAGGATAGAGCCCGGCCTTTGACCGGGACCGGGGTGTGTGTGGTGGGGGTGGGGATAAAAACGGCATTTTAACTGGGACCACCACCTGCACGTTGTTCCTTCACTGCAGTTGGGTAAAAACCCTGGAATTTCCTTCTTCAGGACATTGTAGGTGGACCCAGACCACATGGCAGCTCATCACCAACATCTAAAGGGCAACTAGGGACGGGCAATAAATGCTGGCCAGCCAGTGATAGCCATATCCCGTGAGTGAACATATCATAAAAAGGGACAGGGACTAGAAGCCACCTTTTCCCCAGGACTGGGGCTAGAAACTGCTCGTTCACTGAGACTGCTGTAACACAAGGTATCTGATGCAGCAGCTGTAAAATGCATAACCCGGGACATCAGCTAAAGCATGTTACTGTATAATACAAACTTAGCATCACTCCTGTCTAACTATAATATGCACTTGAGATAGAACCAATGTACTCTTTGGAGTCATTCAATATGTACTACGTTCTTGTATGTGAGCTATAGAAACTGGAGAAAAAGAATTAAAGCGTTATCAGTCACAACCACTGTCACCGAGCTGTACAGCATGGAAACAGACCCTTTGGTCCAACTTGTCTGTGCTGACCAGATACCCTAAATTAATCCAGTCCCATGTACCAGCATTTGGCCCATATCCCTCAACTCTTCCTATTCATGTACCCATCCAGATGTCTTTTAAATGTTGTAATTGTACCAGCCTCCATCGCTTCTTCTGGCAAGTCATTCCATACACGTGCCACCCTCTATGAAAACATTGCCCCTTAGGAGGCTTTTAAATCTTTTTCTCACCTTAAACCTATGCCCTCCAGTTTTGGGAAACCCCCCCACTCCACCAAGCTGGGGAAAAGACCTTGTCTTTTCATCCTATCCATGCTCGTCATGATTTTATAAACGTCTATAAGGTCACCCTTCAGCCTCTGTCACTCAAGGGGAAAAATAGCCCCAGTTTATTCAGCCTCTCCCTATAGCTCAAACCCACCAACCCTGGCAACACCCTTGTTGACCTATTCTGAACCCTCTCAAGTTTCACAACATCCTTCCTATGGCAGGGAGACCAGAATTGCATACAGTATTGGAGACCAGAATTGCATACAGTATTCAAAACCAGTGCCCTGTACAGCCACAACATGACCTCCCAAGTCCTATACTCAAAGCACTGACCAATAACGTCAAGCACACCAAATGCCTTCACTATGCTGTCTACCTGGCACTTCAAAGTCTCTTTGTTCAGCAACACTCCCCAGGACCTTACCGTTAAGTGTATAAGTCCTGCCCTGATTTGCCTTTCCAAACTGCAGCTCCATTTGCCACACCTCGGCACGTTGGCCCATCTGATCAAGATCCCATTGCACTCTGAGGTAACCTTCTTCGGTGTCCGCTACATCTTCAATTTTGTTGTCATCTGCAAACTTACCTTACCTCCTATGTTCATAGTCAAATCATTTATATAAGTGATGAAAAGCAGAGACCTGGCACTGATCCTTCTGACACACCGCTGCTCACAGCCCTCCAGTCTGAAAAGCAACCCAGCACCACCTTCAAGCCAGTTCTGTATCCAAATGGCTAATTTTCCCCATAATGCATGTGACCTAACCTTGCTGACCAGTCCACAGTGCGGAACCTTGTCAAATGCCTTACTGAAGTCTATGTGGATCATGTAATAAAAACTAGAATCTAACCAGTATTGCATGCTTGCTATGTAGTCGTAATTTTAGGAGGCTGTTTTAAGCTACAGGCCATGGTCGCAGGTATAGATAGACTGGGTGACATAATAACCTTTTTAGGGGTTTTAGATTCAGGTAGGAATTTGACAATTGTACATCTTAGCAGAAGAGAATGATGTGAAGTGGGTGGGCTGTAAACCTCCGGGGACAGTCATTGAGTGGAGACACAAGACCAGAAGTAGACCTTTCAGCCTGTTTCACTATTCATTTAGATTGTGGCTGCTTAGTAACTCAACTTCATTTACTTACTTTTTAACAAATAAATCGCTCTCTCTTACCAATTTATTTCAGTTTTCAAAATTTCACTTGAATCTAAATACATGACCTTTTGAAGTAGAGAATTCCATAATTTCCATGTGGTGTAAAAGTACTTTTTAATTTGTTTCTCAAGTACCTTAGCTCTAATTTTAAGAATGGGCCCTACAGTTCTGACTTCCACACCTGACTGGAGGACGTAGCTTCTCAGCATTGACTGTACTGAGTTTTATTTTTATCAGTTCGAGCACGTCAAACAAATCATTTTCCATTCTCAAGAGAATGTCTTTAAGCCCTAGTAGTCTAGTGAATTAATACCGTGCTCCCTCCAAAGACCATATACTCTTCTCAGTTCACAAAGCTGAACGTAATACTCTAGATTTCGTCTGAACACTCGAAGAATAATTTCTTCTGTTTGTATTATAAATCCTTTATGTTAAAGAGTAACATTATGTTGAATTTTTAAATTACTTTTGTACCATTAAATTAGCACTTAAGGTTTATGTACCTGCAGACCCTCTGATCTTTTACAATTTAGAGTGCCCACTTAAGAAAACGTTTATAGAATTATAGAATTTTACTCGACAGAAGTAGGATAGTCAGCCCAACATGCTGGACCAACATTTTAAACTCCATATCACTGCTTTTTCCACATAACCCTATGAACTAGTCCTTTCCAGCAGTACAACTAATTGTCATTTATAATTTCTTATGGAATTTGATTCCCTTTTTTTTGGGTACATGTGGTATTGCCCTAATCTGTCAGTCTTGGCACCTTAACTAGATCAGAGAATTTGCCATACTGAGGGAGGCCAAGTGTATTCAACGTATAAACACTTTTTTTTAAAAAGAAAAAGGCCTAACCTTGACTTGTGTCAATCACTTGCCTAATGGATGAGTGGTTATTCAGTTGGACAACAACAAATGGGTTTAGGTCACCCAACTGGACAAAGTGTAACCAAAAGTACTAAAAATGAAGATCAAAGCAGAGCCTCAGATGCCACAACAGGAAAATCCAAAATTACTGAGAATGACGAACCAAAGAGGTTGCTGGACCAGCGGGTGTTGGATTAGGGAGATATGATGTGTAGTGTATTTCAGATTTTGACCTTGTCAGAATTAGAGCAGTTTACAGTGCAACACAAGGCCATTCAGCCCAATGTGCACCTGCTGGCATTATGAAAGAGCAGCTGCATTTAGTCACAGTTCCCCTACTCTCTATCTGTACTACTTTACATTTCTCGTGTTCCAGTACCTGTCCAGCACTCTTTATAATCATTTAAGGAATTACCATAGACCATGTTTTTCAAGTAGAACGTTCGAGATCCTGCCAACTGTGAATTAAGCAAAATTGTAGTCTCCACTCTAAAACTTTTGCTGAATATCTATGAATCTGAGACCTCTGATTATTGCGCCATTCAACAGAGGGAGTAGTTTTATTCTCTGTCTTCTCTATCAAAGCCTCTCATGATCTTAAACGTTTAGTAGGCCACCTATTCACCTTCTGTGTACGAAGAAAAATATGTTTAATTTTTCCAACCTTTCCACATAAGTGGAACGCCTTCATCCTTGGTAACATCCTAAACAACCTTCTCTGCATTCTTTCTGTGGCCTTCTTTTCTGATACATGTTGCAAATTGGTCATTACATTTCAGTTGAGGCTTAATCAATGATTTGTATAGTTCTAGTGTGATTGTTTCGCTTTTATATTCTACATTTCTATTTATAAACCCACATGATTTCTTTAACAGCACATCAATATTGCCTCTAGCCTTTAAAGATGTGTGCATGTGGGTACAAAGGTTTCTCTGCTCAACTGTGCATTTTAAAATTGTGCCATGCAGAGTGTATTTTTTTTAATATTTGTCCTTCCAAAATATATAATTTCACAGTTCTCCACTGTGCCCTCCATCTACCATGCTTTTGTTCATTTCACCTTCATTTCTGTGCCATCCTGAAGTCTATAAACTTTCATCACCACTGTCTACCTTATTGCCAAGTCTCAGGCCATCTGTATGCATTTTGCATCATTGTTCCTATCAACCAGGATAGATTGTTTATTAAAATGTAAAGGAGGAATGAACCCAAAACTGACTTTTGTGGGACGTCACTGCAAACCACCTGTCAGTCTTAAAAACATCCAATTCACTACTACCCTCTGCTTCCTATCATTAAACCAATTTAATATAGATATTGCCCTCTTCCCCTTAATTCCATAGATCATCTCTTACCAACAAATCACCTACTTTTTGAATTTTTTGGCGGGGGCGGATTTGATGTAGATCACCTCAAACTTTCCACATTGACCTCCATCTGCCACAGTTTTGGTTACTCATTTTAGACTATTTTTATAACAGCAGATAATCGTCAAATCCAAGATCTTAAAATCAAATGAAGTAGGCTGAGACTCTGTAAATGAAATAAGCATGAAAAGGCAAATAATCTAAATTTATCAGAGAGCTGGTTGTTCAAGGTCACTAACGTCACTTAGTTCAGAGAGGACTGAAAGCTAAGTATTGATGCCAAAAGTTCATTGTATTATAATACCGATGTTGCCTCAGGCATGATGCAATTGTAATTTTGTTTAAAATTGACAGCTGTGACATGCAATTTAGGTGTAATAAGCAGGAATTACAAACAAAGCACAAGACATTTGACTTGATTTTACCTAATAATGTAACTGCTCTGTACTGGAACAAAAATTATAACATATTATAGTTAGTACCGGAACATTAACTATTCTGCCCAACTTTGAAGAACCTTAAAAATATAAGAAAGTTAAAGGTAAAAGTTTAAGTCTGGTGGGATATTTTCACACAAATGTTTGCAGTTATTTCTTTAAAATTGATTTCTAACAGTACTTTCAATAAAAACGTCTGTAATTCCATATAGTCCTTTAACATATCTTCTAATGTATTATTTAGGGACAATCTCTTGCGCAGGGCAGCATGTCAACAGGCAGAGGTAAGGCAATCGAAAATTATTGGATGACTTTTTTTGCTGGTTAGTTAGCCTCTATAATTAGCCTGTGTACTCACTGAGGCTTTGGGGTAGATGTTCAATTCGTAATTTTTCTTGTGTTCTAAAAAAGAATCATATTGGACCTGAAACATTAATGCTGTTTCTCTCCACAGATGCTGTCAGATTTCCTGAGTTTCTCCAGCATTTTCTGTTTGTATTTCAGAATGCATGCAAATATGAGATTGCAGCATCCAGTTCATATAAAATCATGTTTTCAACTGTGATGTATCTACCAGTTTATATTATTGTGACTAAACATTGGACATAAAGGTAACGTCCTGATTTTAAGGGACATTTGGTCTATCAAAGACTGGTGATGCCAAACCCAAAAGACTATTGAGTGCAAACCTGAATATTTTTTAACCGTATAATTGACTGATAGGATGCTGTTTGCTGCCTGGGTGTCTCTTTGCTCTTGATCTCCTCTCATTAGATGTATACTTTAAGAAGTGGCTTTTATGTCCATTTGACTCTTTGATGTCATTCAAAAATCCCGCCAGACTGTGCAATTGCAAGTACAATTGGTACATTATTAAATCTGTGCTCCAAGAAAACTATTGCTCCCAATGTTTCTTTACCTACCTTGACTAAATATACTAAGAAGTATGCTTTGTTCTACTATCTTGGACAACCTACCCCCATCTAATTGAAAAATGTGAGCAGTCAATGTTTGCTGTTATTTTTGTGGGCTATTACTGACAGTAGATTCTATATGACTGTGTCAGCACCACAAACATGGCATTTTCAGGAGTGGTTCAGTAATTCTGTGTACAATTCCTTAAAGGTTAAGCTGAGAAGGTTAATGAGGCTCCCGTTTGTAACTATTAGAGAGGCAGCATAACAGTATTCTGACACTGGTGTGTAGGTTTATTTTCCTGTTGTGTTGAATCTTGGGTTACAAGCGACCTGGAAGGCCTGTGTAGCTTTTCTCTGTGAGTCCTGGGACTTAGCTGTCTGAAGTGACAGTTGAGTCTGAATATTTAAAACGTTCAGCTAGCTCCAAGTTAGAGCCTTTAGGATGTGTTAGAACTACAAATATGCACTTAATTGCAATAATGTTTTCTGTTTTGTAATTACAATTTTAACAGTTTCTGACATTTTATTAGTGCCTGGCCTCAGTACATCACTGGTATTTATCCTATATGTAAACACATGCAGGTTGTTGCAAATTCATAAAACACAATGCATTTCCAGATTCTATGTTTCTTCACCTATTGTACAGAGCACCAACTTACCATTACAGTGACAGGTGTTGATCAAAATGGAAACTTAAAACTCTGAAATAAATAAAAGTAAGCTGTTTATTTATAATGTTTAAAGTTTGAAAGCAATTTCAGGGTTTAATTTGTTTGAGTTGATATGACAGTTAATCTATTCTTAAGCGGCTGTTTTACCAACATTTAAAATATTTGTGACTTTATTAATATATGCCTAAGTGCTTCATTATATCGGTCAAGGTAAAATATTTTTAAATGAATAAACTAGGCAGTATAAATGAAATATCAGATTACTGGCCAAAATTCCATCTTGTATTGTCGGATGCGTTTTGTGGTTGCTTTTGTATGGGATAGAGTATTATTAACAGATCATGTTTTAACTTCATTGTCAGTACTTAGCACTCCTATGTCAGGTGTGATACGAGTTAGATGTAGAGTAAAACTCCAAGTAGATTTCCCATCAAATCATTTCAATGTCAGGCACAGTATGTGTCTGATGTTGAGTGGAAGTGTCTTCACTATTACCCAAGAGCCCATTCCAGGATAGGATAGAAACCCCATCTGCACAAGTATATCATTTTTATTTCCAAGTTCAATCATTTATAGACGTTTCTTCAGTGGGATTGAGATTTTCGGGAAAATTAATGCAAGGAGGCATCTGATCACTTGAAACTTAGTATAAATTGTCCCCGGACTCATTTTGTGCAAGACCTTTAAAAGCCATTGATAAAGGCTATTAATCCTGTCCAGTAGCAAAACAGCATTCAAACCTAGTTGTCTGAATCTCTGCTGATTCCATGAAAGATATTTGCTTTTCATTCCCTAGAGTGCGTACATTTTGTGATCAACAATTGTGTTGTTTTATTGTAATCAACGAGTTCAGTGATGTTATTGCACATCTTTGGAAAAAAGTGGGACTTGAACTCGGGCCTCCCCGTCCATGGATAGGAATACTGCCACTGTGCGACAAGAGGTCCCTTTTTTTTGACATTTGTGTTTCCGTTTAGGAATATGGAAACCAGCTGCTGCCAATCAGTGCAAAAGTGAAGAAAGCTACTGTCTTTCTGAATCCTGCTGCTTGCAAAGGGTAAGAGATTTCACTGAGGCTATTGTAAAGATTAAAGGATGGCAGTGTTTCTTATATTTCTCATTAGAAATGTTGCATGTTATAAATGTGCTTAATCATTTATTATTTATCAACCATTGTGGCAACAAAGAACAAAATCACTGTCAGTACTATTTTAGTCTGGAGAATCATTAATAACGCAATCATTAATTGCTTTAAATCTTTCATTTTCACTAGCTCTAGCAATATATATTTGGATGACTTGACTTGTATTATGTTTATCTAGAAAATTAAACTGTGTGACCGTCTCCATAGTCAGATGTAACAGTAACAAAATGTAATCCCTCTGGCGTCTAAATATATTTACAACACAATGAGTCAGAGTAGAAATTTGGATAAATACTCAGACTAATTATTGAAACATATTAAAGGCCTGATTATTTAAATATGTTACTTTGGGATCAAAATGAATGCAGTATGCTATGCTGCACCACTGTGCCTTTCACAACTTCATGATATCCCAAAATACTTCACAGTCAGAGCTACCGTTTGAAGAGTGGCCACTAGTGTAGTGTAGAAAACAGGACAAACTACGTTGGACAAATTTTAAAGTAGTATCACATTCTGGAGTAGAATGGAAACCATATTAAAGATGTAGTGTGGATGCAGTGTCAATGACCGATTGGAAAGAGGTTCTGGCAAACTCTGTGACCAGTAGATCAGTATCTGGTCCCAGCTCTATTTTCTTGGAGACAAATCACTAGAACACTCTTGACGAGCTTGCTAAAAGTGCATGTAACTCTGCTATTAGCACATCTTATGAAAGTAGGGCTTAAGAAACTGCTGTAATCCCAAATGTTTTATGTTTAATCTTTTCAGAAAAGCAAGAAGTCTCTTTGAAAAGAATGCAGCACCAATTTTACATCTTGCTGGACTGGATGTAACAGTGGTTAAGGTGAAAATTCAGTCAAAGAATTGGATCGTGTATAGGTTGTATTTATAAGTGACAGAAACCAAAAGTGAAATGATGTCCAGTTATTAACATGCACCATAAGATATATAGCAAATGTTACAGGACTACAAATAAAGCTGGTTTACAGTATTTAACATATGAATCCTAACAGATGAAAATAAATATTTAATTCAACTAATTTGATTAATCTGGAAAAGAGCTATTTATCTGAAGTTGAGGCTTGAGATATGCTTGGAGTGAGGACTTATTTACAAGACTTACAGTCTTGACTTTTAACTTGCAATGCTTAGATTAGGCAGCAATATGAAGGATTAAGTAAATTTTTAAATATTGGTGACTATTACAAGTGATCACTGCCATAAAGCAGTACATTGTAAAGAAGTTGTTTCTGACTGAGCAGCAGATTACTGATTGTAGCTGAATGCTCCCTTGTACAATGTCTACATGAGTCAAATAGAATTCTACTATCTGAATGTTCACAAGCAAAATACTATGGATGTTAGAAATCTGAAATTAAAAACAGAAATCACTGACATTCTCAGCAGGCCTGGCAGTATTTATGGAAAGAGAAACAGCACATTATTTATCAGAGCTAGAAAAAAGTTAGTAATGTAATAGGTTTTGAGAGAGTGAAAAGATGATGGGAATAAGAACAAAATGGGAGGTCTGTGATAGGGTGGGATGGCGGAGAGATTAAATGACAAAATGTTTAATGTGCAAGGGCAAAAGGAGTGGTGATTGGACAAGTAAATAAACAATGGATATGTTCAGAGAAAGTGTGAATGACAAGATCTGAAAAGCTGCCATCTGAAAGCAAAGACAAGAATACCAGAAACAAATGGTGAGAAGAGAAACCAGCAGTGAAAAACACTGCAAAATAGAAGGTAGAAGTTAGAATAGAAAATTGTTGAACTCACTGAGTTCAAAAGACTATATGGTGCCTTTTCAAAAGGTGAAGTCCCAGTCTTGAGCTTTGTTGCAGCAGGCCAAGGACAGAAAAGTCAAAGTGGACCAAAGGTTGAGAATGTTTAATTGGTTTAAAATCATTAGTACCAGGGAGGTCAGTTGGCAGGACGACTGGTTTGAATGATGCCAGCAAAGCAAATTTAATTCCCACACCAACTGAGGTCATATTAAGATACTGCTTTCTCAGCCTTGCCTCTTGCCCGAGGTGTAGTGACCCTCAGGTTAAACTCACCACGAGCAGCCCTGTAGCCCCGTGGGATGAAGGCACCTTAACCTTTATTATGCAAGTGTGCGTCTGCTCTCAAATAGTTGTCGGGGTGCTTTCATTGTAAGAGAAGGTGCTTCAGATAGTTTAAATCAATCTGTTCAGAAATGTTATTACACACCTCTACTGCAGGAGGGACTTGAACCTAGGCCTCCTGGTCCAGCTGAATTTGAGCTGTTTTGAGCTGAATGCTGTAAGGATCTTAGTAAAGTAACACTTCCACATGAAAATAGGGATTGAACCCCTCTGCGTATGAATTCATGATAATACTTACAAATAGTTTGTTCGAGTGTGAAGGGAAGTAAAGTAGTATAAGTGCTTAATAGATTGCATTACTGAAAGGTGATGTATTTTGTTATCTTTATTGAACTGCTATAATATTTAAAATTCTCCTGGTACTGGTTCCAGGCTAACTGTTATGATGATTGCTACCTCCTCCCTGTGGTTCTGCGATGCTCATTACAAAGAAGGCCAATCTCAAGTTCATATCCTTCAAGAGACTTTTATTGACCCCAACCAAGAAATTATTCATTTTCTAAATTCTTGCACTCTGTACAGCTTTTGAAACTTCAAATAATACTGCCTGCCAAGTGTTTTAAATTCTACTGTAGCACCTGACTTCTTGTCTACATTATTATAAAGAGGCTAATCTTAAAATTGCACACTAGATTGGTGCTCTAGATATCAGGCATTTATGTTCCATGTACTGCCCTACTTCTGATCGTGAGTAATATTGACTGTAAAATATCAACTGTTGGCCGAAGACCAGGATTTTGGTACCCTTTGGGCAATTCCCTCTATTTGTTTCAGACACCACATGACGAACTTTGCAGTTGAATCATGGAAGTGTGGTATAGAGGTTAGAATCAGCAACAAGTGGCCAGAAGTAGCAGCAGATGAGGCTTCAGAAAGTACCTCTGCTACCATTATGGATCCAACTTTGCCTCTTCCCTCCACCTTTCCAGAGAATCCAAATGGTTAGATCCATCCCTTGAAATAAACTGCTGCGTTCAATTAAGTAAAGTTGATTCCTGAAATAAATTGATTAATCTATGGCAAAACTTAACCATACTTCTAAATCTTAAGCTAATTTTGCCTCAACTATCCCAAGATTTTATTTGAGATGACATATCAAGCAGCAAGATAAGAGAATTCGACACTAATAAGCACTGGACAGCTCACTGGAGACCAACAGCAACTTGGCAAGAGTTAAAAATATAGGTTAGCCTTCACCAGTTACAGGAAATGACAGAACTGGTACTAAATTTAAGTAAGCCTGAACAACTGGAATTGTATTTGGTGATCAAAACCTGATCTTGCAATGTCTAATGGCCAAAAAAAATCAACTTGTGAAAAAGATAAGAGGCCAAGAACTGATCGTATGGAAATGTTTAACCCCTGGAAGTGACTAAACAAAAGGGGACATATTTTCAGCTTTAGTTTACAAATTCCATCTGCAACATGTAGTAATAAAATTCGACCTGCCACATCTACCTTCTATCCTCAACAGTTTCACTGAGGTCTTTTAGTTCTGTGTGTCACATCCCTCTTTTATCTATTGTTTAAGCTTTTCTGAATAAGCTACAAAATATCTTGAGGTTTTGTTCTTGTAGCTTGTTTCCTTGATTGGTAATGGAATCAATAACATTGTGGATGTTCTACACATTCTGTATGACTCAGTGATCTTATCCCTGTTTCTGTTGCAGACTGATTATGAGGGCCAAGCAAAGAAACTCTTGGAACTGATGGAAGACACTGATATGATTGTTGTTGCTGGAGGGGATGGCACCCTACAAGAGGTATGGCAAAAGTTTGAGGTATCAGGCACACAGTTGACTGGAAGGGAAGTTGTCTACTGACTGGAATTAATTTCATCCATAGGTCCCCCCTAGTAGAAATGTAGTTTTGGGAAGATCAGAGTGTTGTGCATGGGAGTGGTAGGGTGCAAGTTTGATTCTTAGCTTGTAAAGAGCCAAATGGAGTTCAAAAGGAAACCATGGGAAATTTACCCTGTTACTTCATAACACATTGGCATTGGCAATCCTCCAAGCTGAGAATTGGTGCATGTGGGAAAGCAGAATATCTGCTTGTGGCTGGACGTAGAGTATTTTGTTTATAGGCTCAGCAATGGATCTTCCTACTATCATCCTTGACTTTCATGCAACCAACCTTGTGTAGAATTTCTGTAAATTCAGCATTTCCAGGGTGACATTTGATTTTTGTTGTTTCTTCATGGGGACCCATTCAGGAAATTGTAGTGTCCAGATTGGCAGTAATCCCTGATCTGTCTGTGGTTGTTGACTGAAACACATGGCAGCTGAGGTGGCAAGAGTAACTCCAGGAGATGATTTGCAGTTATGGTGCTGGGGAGATTTGGTGCAAACTCCAGTTTGGTTGGAGAAGGGCCTTTGTCTCCTTGATCATATAGATGCCATGCTAAGGGTTGATATGTTTCTTTGAACAGTTCAAGGATGGTTTATAGGCCGTATTCTGTGTGTGCCAGGATAATACAATCATCTCATATTGAAGGTCTGTTATGGTCATGTGCAAGACATTGGTTTTCACTTTCAGTGTTTGGAGGTTGGGAAGCTTCCTGTCAAATCTGTACTCAGTTTGGACTCTGTATAGGAATATGTCCTTGACATGTCAGATATGGCCACTAGGAAGATGCTCAGAAAGCCTACTTCAAGAAGACAGGCTTTGACTTAAACAGTTAGGGAGATTGGTCCAGTGCACAATCACAATGATAAGGCCTACTTCTCCAAGTCTATTTTGCAGTAAGGCAGATGACAAAGCTGAAGAAGGGAAAGCAAGAAGAAAACTCAAGAATGTACACAACCCCAATATGGAACTCCAATATGGAACTTTTTTCTCTTTTTGTTTTCTGCAAATTTATTAACCAGGTAGAAGACAGAGGGTGGTGATGAAGGGTTGCTTTTCAGACTGGTGGCCTGTGACCAGTGGTGCGCTGCGAGGATCAGTGCTGGTTCCACTGCTTTTTGTTATTTATAATAATGATTTGGGTGTGAAAGTAGGAGGTATGGTTAGTAAGTTTGCAGATGACACCAAAATTGGAGGTGTAGTAGACAACGAAGAAGGTTACCTCAGAGTACAACGAGATATTGATCAGATGGGCCAATGGACTGAGGAGTGGCAGATGCGTTTAATATAGATAAATGTGTGGTGCTGCATTTTGGAAAGGCAAATCAGGACAGGTCTTATACAATTAATGGTAAGGTCCTGGGGAGAGTTACCGAACAAAGAGACCTACGGGAGCAGGTTCGTCATTCCTTGAAAATGGAGTCATAGTAGACAGGATGGTGAAAGCGATGTTTGCCATGTTTGCTTTCAATGATCAGTGCATTGAGTATGGGAGTCGGGATGTCATGTTGTGGCTGTATAGGACGTTGGTTAAGCCATTTTTAGAATATTGCATTCAATTCCGGTCTAGAAAGATATTGTGAAACTTGAATGGATTCAGAAAAGTCTTACAAGAATGTTGCTACGGTTGGAAGATTTGACCTATAAGGAGAGGCTAAATAAGCTGGGGCTATTTTCCCTGCACTGTCGGAGGCTGAGGGGTGATACCTTAAAGAGGTTTATAAAATCATGAAGGGAATGGACAAGGTCTTTGCCCCGGGGCGGGGGAATCCAAAACAAGAGGGCATAGGTTTAATGTGAGAGGGGAAAGATTTAAAAGGGACCTAAGGGGCAACTCTTTCATGTAGAGGGTAGTGCATTTATGGAATGAGCTACCAGAGGAAGTGGTGGAGGCTGGTACATTCACAACGTTTAAAAGGCATCTAACTAGGTATATGACTATGTGTTTAGAGGGATATGGGCCAAATGCTGGGAAATGGGGCTAGATTTATTCAGCGTCTTTGGTTGGTATGGACGAGTTGGATCTAACCTTGCTAACCAGTCTACCATGTGGACCCTTGCTAAACCATATAGACAACGTCTATCGCTTTGCCTTCATCAATCTTCTTTGTCATTTCTTCAACAAACTCAGTCAAGTTAGTATGACACAATTTCCCACGCACCCAAGACAAATGATTAATTGGCATTCCTCAGTAGAGCCTTTTACTATTAGTGATTATTTCAAACATTCTATTTCGTTGTGTTCTATTTACCTGTTCTTTCTTCCTTCAAGTGAGGATGGCATTTGGGTTAAAGGAGAAAGATGAGAGTGTAGCAAGTTTGGAAAATTTATTTAAGTATATGATTTTTATTTTGACCTTAAAATCCAGAGAAAGCAATCTTAAATGGATGTACATTAATTTTGCGTTCACAAATAAAGTTTCATTGAAAATTATTCATAATAGATAGAAATGATAAAAAAATGTGTTAGTTAGCTTGACTGATCTTTTGGTTCATGTAACAAACTGTCCCTCTTCCTCATAACAATACAGATCTTTTTTAATGGAACTGTCCCTCTCTCTTTAAATACTTGTGACTGGATAAACACTTGAGGCTCAGACACTGCTGATGGTCACTGCCACTGATCCATATGATATATTTATAAGAAGAGTTGGTGTTTTGCAAAAATTGAATCAGTCTGAATTAGAACAGGGTCTGATCTTGCAAAACACTCCTATGAAAGAATGGAAGGTTACCTACAAGTGTCAAGTATGTATGTAATGATGCTTGCATGCCAGTATTGAACTGTTGCAGCTGACATTATGCTGAATTTTATTAAGTAATCTGAAATCTGTTGAAGGGCAATAAACACTTTGGTGTAGAAATACTGATGCTGGATGGTGCTTTCACCATTTTCTCCTCTTTAAACATTAGGTAATAACTGGACTTCTTCGTCGAGAGGATGAGGTAAGTTAGTATCATAGGTCATGATTTAGACTGACCATGTCCTGATGCAAATGCATAGAATAAGAATTAAAATTCTTATTTGAGTGTTTTGACCTTAAACCAAGGCTAGTGTAAAAGCAGGGAAGATAGTTTTATTTCTGAAGTAACCATGTTTTTAAAACCATTTGGTCTCACCTTTTTAAACATAGAGGAATATTCATATTTTAGCTGTTGAGACAATGACCCTGATTAGATGGTTATTTCCTATTTTCAGGAATGCAGTATTGGATTTGAGGAGAGAAAATAATGTATTATTAAGCAATAATCTTTCACATCTGACCACTGAAAGCTCATGAAAATACTCACTGTTTATTTCTAGTTTTTTAGTTAAAGGAAATGGAAAGAAAAATACCTTTATATATTTGCTGTGTTTCTACTTTTTTAGGCTGTCTTTAGCAGGATCCCCATAGGATTTATTCCATTGGGAAAGATGAACTCCTTGAGCCAGGCACTGTATTCTACCAACAAAGAACAGGCCAGGTACAAGATGGCTAAAGTCGTGAGTAATGATGACAAGGAAATACAGATTATGGGACATGGTTAGATTGTGAGGAGCTAACACTTACTTACCTATGTGTCAATTGTATGTAAAGTGATTGTGAATCAGCTTTCCTCTTGGTTTCCTGTGGGCAGCATTCCACTTTTTTTTCTCCTAGTCACTAGCATTAGAATTATTAACAGACTTAATGTGGTGCTAAATGTTAATGCTGTGTTTTATTGTGTTTAATGGGAGAGGGGAGGGATGATGTGCACACTTACAATTTCACATTTTCAGTCAGTGAAATCAGGGTATGTCACACTACTTCTGTTACCGTCATGCCACCTCACCAGCTGAGAGTTGTAATTTGTTATGTAGCAAGTCCATTTGATAGTATTGCAGGCAATTCATAAAATAATCACTTTCTTCTAATTTTCTCCCTTTTCATTGAACACATGGGCTCATGATTTGAATTCATGGATGCCACCCATTGTCCAGTTGCTCATCAAGGGTTCAGATGTGATCTAGATACCTTTGAAAAGTTACTAAGATGTGAGCAGTATTTTTACCCAATGTCCACATCACTATCAGGAGTTAGTAGTAATCTGAAGGAGGTACTTGTGGTTAATTTGTTTTCTTTTGTCACCTCCCCTCCTGTTCCCTTTTTAGGCGCAAAAACCAATTACAAACCCTGCTTCCCATCTTCTGACTGGCTAAGGATAGTTAGAGATTTAAATCTGGTTCATTTTTTGTGCTGCTGACATCCTTGTCTATTTTCAAACACATTTGTTAGTGAAGTAGTCTTCTTTCACCAATTCTTGGGAAAGATCACCTCACTGAATGCCTCAGCAGGTGGTCCAGTGAAGAGTGACAGACCAGGGAGCAGCTTTACCAGGTCTCCTTTCTTTTCCTGTGATTTCTGCAGTCACAAAAAACCCAGGGCCAAGTGGCCTGCTTGTGCAGTGTAACAATTCTGTGATTCTTGACTCACGTGGCTCTGTTTCAACTTGATGGTGCAGCAAGCAAATAATCCAATAGGAAACTTCACAATTATTTATACCTTGAGCATTTTGGGCAAGTGCTTTTGTAATGTGTGATGTTTAAAATTGCCTTTTAATTGATGCAGTTGAGTTTCAGCATCCTCTGTATCTTGGTCGTATTTTTCACTGCTCTATGTTGCAGACACATTTTAAACGCCACACTTGCTATTGTGAAAGGAGAGACTGTTCCCTTGGATGTACTGGAAATAAAGGTAAATAAAAAATTTCCCAGTAATTCTCATACTTTTGTAAACTTACAAAATCATTTCCAGTTGCTATTATTACTCAGGAATTTATCCCTCTGTTTAAGAAAATTAAATAAAAATGCACTAATAGGTTCCCCTGGCATTGTGAATGGATAAACCAGGTTCTGAGGTAGTATTTACTGTTATCCTGCTGAGAATAAGTATCACAATACTTAACATGTTGCCATTGTACAGAAAACTTAGTGAACACATCTAATATAACTGCTCTGAAATAAAAATATTATAGAGCTTATGGCTAGATGAAAGATACAAGGGATATAGAAATAATTACAAATTTTCTTCACCATTTTCCATAATGTTTAGATAATTATTTTTCCTTTGTCAAAATTTCTAATTTTCATTACCATTTCTTTGCATTTTATTATTTTTCTTCTACTTTTCATGATGGATTTCAGGTACTTTGTGTTTAATACTCAATTCCTACATCCCAAAGCCTAACATTTTTCCCCTTTTATTATGTAAAAAATTGAAGAAAACCTTTCCTTGATGATTTGTGTTTGTCAAATGATATTTCTCCCACTGTCTTTGATTATCCGGATGCCAAGTGGTCCAGGCCTTACTGACTGATTAGTTCTGCTGACCGAGTCTGCGGTTAGCAAAGGAGTACCAAATAGACATTCCGTCTGGTCCCAACACAAACGTGTGCAATATCATGCTGCGCTGGGATTAATGTAATTCCACAGGAGCATGGTTACAATTCCAGCTCCTTGTTTGTATGTTCATAAAGCTAGAACTAGACGGCGTGGCCTCAAAATAAGGAGAAGCAGATTTAGGACTGGGTTGAGGAGGAACCTCTTCATCCAAAGGGTTATGAATCTGTGGAATTCCCTGATCAGCGAAGTAGTTGAGACCACCGCATGGAAAGTTTATGAGGCAAAAATAGATAGATTTTTGAACAGTAAATGAATTAAGGCTTATGGTGAGCAAGCAGGTAAGTGGAGCTGAGTCCATGAAAAGATCAGCCATGATCTTATTGAATGGCAGACCAGACTTGATTGGCCAGATGTCCTACTTCTGCTCTTATTTCTCATGTGCTTATGTTCATTCTTCTGCACAGCACTCCTCAACAAAAAATCTTGCAGCTTCACTCATTCTTCTCTCTCCAGGCTCCCTGTCCTTCCCCTTCGTCCTTCTTCCCTCTATTCCTCCCCGTTTTTCCTCTATTTACCCCGTCATTTCATTCACCTTCCTCCATCCCCTCACTCATTTCTTCTTCCCTCCATCCCCTCACTCTCCCTGTCTGCCCTCCCTTCCCTCTGCTCTCCACCCTTCTTGCTTTTTCCTTGTCCAGGCTTTCTCCTCCTCCCTCACACTCACACCTTGACAAAACCTTGGATGACTCCTACAAAGGTAAAGTTAGATGGTAGGTTTAAGCATGTTGACCAGCATGATGGCAGTAGTATCTTAGAAAGTATGCATTACCAGAAGTACAAATTATATGTAACAATGTTTTCCATACCAAACAAATTCATGAAGACCTCTTTCGTTGTTTCAACGTTTTAACATGACAGTATAGAGAGCACAATATTTTTACAGGTGAGCAGCTACTGTCCTTAATTTATTGGGAGTATTTAGATTTGTTTTGAGGGAGTTTGTTGCGGAGCTGTGCAATTCAGGTTCCGAAGCTAATTTTTCCCCTTGTATTTTCAGGGAGATAAAGACCGTCCAGTGTTTGCAGTGTCTGGACTGCGATGGGGAGCTTACAGGGATGCATCTGCTAAACTCAGCAAGTAAGAGAAAACTGTAAGAGGTGCATGAAAAAGCATAGTGCAAAATACATGCATACCAAAATAAACCAAAGAAGTGCGGATGCTGGAATTCAGAAACAAAAACAGTAATTGATGGGAAAACTCAACAGGTCTCCCAGGTCCTTACCCCAACCCCACCTTTTTCATTCAATGGATTGCTATCACAACCATTGTCAGCTACTAATAGTCCCAATTAACAGCTATTGATTTCCAGAGGCTGACCTTTTCCCCTTCTTTTGTCTGTCTAGCTGTTGTTTGTTCTCTCTCTCTCTGTCTGGGCTCCTTCTCCACCTCCCCCCACCCTATCTTCAGCACATATACCAACGTTTTCCTAGCTACAGTCAGTTCCGAAGAAGGGTCACAGGACCTGAAACATTACCTATGCTTTCTGTCCACAGATGCTGAAAAAACTTGCTGAGTTGTCAGCATATCCTTAAAGATAAATTAGTTCTTCAGTTTCAAAAAAAATATCTGAGACTGGATATTATCCAAGTTTAGAGTCTCTTTATTGTAAATATGGCTAACAATTGGTGATTATTTGTTCCTTTAATATCTGCATCCTATTTATTTTTAGCATCCTGATAAAATAAGTTTGTAATAATAGCCAGACACTTGTAGCAAATTCAGTTAGCCTCAGTGTGATTATATATATTTCGCAAACATGATTCCACAAAATGCATCTCTTTATCCCTGCCAGAAGGCTGAGGTGCCAACTGGAAGAGAACCAATTCCACATATGAATAGTGCAAATATGTGAATATTATGTGCAAGTGGCTTGGTCTTAGAAAGGTCGTTGACTAGGTGTCTGGCAAATGTCTGACAAATTAACCTTTTGGCTCAGCAATGTGATATTTTATGGAAGAAGAATAATAAGCATTAGGAGTAGAACATAGAACATTACAGCGCAGTACAGGCCCTTCGGCCCTCGATGTTGCGCCGACCTGTGAAACTAATCTGAAGCCCATCTAACCTAAACCTATTCCATTATCATCCATATGTAAGAGTAAGTCATTGGGCCTGTTGGGCCATTTAGTAAGATCATGGCTGATCCATTGGTGAGCTTAGCTCCAGTTTCCTGCATGCCCCTGTCTCCTCCATGACTCTTGATTTATTTGTCTATCAAAAGTCTATCTAACTCGCCTTTGATTTGATTCAGTTACCCAACCTCCACTGCTTGGTGGAGAAGAGTTCTAAACATCAGTAACCCTCTGAGAGAAGGAATTCTAATTTGTCTTTTCAATGGGAGATGCTTTACTTTGGAATTGTGCACCTTGTTAGACTATAAGGTATAGGAACAGATGTGGGCCATTCAGCCCATCAAGCCTTCTCCATCACTTGATCTGAATCAAGATCTGAAAATGCTCAACTCCATTTTCCTGCCTTATCCCCATAACTCTTGATTCCCTTACTGATTTAAAAAGTTCTGGAACCACCACTCCCCCCACCCATCACTTAAGAACCTTAAAAAAAGAGATTAGGCCAAGAAACAAATTACTCATTTTCACATTTACAAGCATAGAGCATAGCATTCATTTTTTGCATTACAGCACTGACTACATTTCAAATATCTTTTAAATTTGGCAGTGAACTGTTTTGGAGGTTCTGAAAAATGGTGCATAATACATGTTTATTTTCTTTCTTTAATACTTCCACTTTTTAGAAAAGCCTCATTTCTCTTGTTGTGCCTAGTTTCTGTGTTTCATGATGAGTATTTCATTTGTTTACAGTGCTGCTTCAATTTTATCACTCCGCAGGTATTGGTATCTCGGTCCCCTCAAAGACAAGGCATGTCATCTGTTCAGTATGTTTAGGGTGAGTGCTTGTTTTTAATGCAGAGATTTTGTAATCCTGCCATTGCGTGAGTTTTGATGATATTGTTGGAAGGGAACAAACCTGAGAGACCTCATTCAAATCTTACAAATTGAGCAACACTGTGCAAAAGTACTGCTTTCTTTTACAAGAGACTGGTCAGTATACTTGTCTCCTAACTTACAGCCCAGATCAAAAGAACTGCACAGCACAGTGCCTCAGAAGTTAGCACTGCTGCCTCACAGTGCCAGGGACACGGGTTTGATTCCACCCTTGGGTGACTGTCTGTGTGGAGTTTGCATATTCTCCCTGCATCTGTATGAGTTTCCTCTGAGTGCTTTGGTTCTTCGCACAGTCCAAAGATGTGCAGGTTAGGTGGATTAGCCATGCTAAATTGCCCATAGTGTCCAGGAATGTGTAGCCTAGGTGGATTAGCCACCTAGGGGAATAGGGGAAATTGATCAAAAACAGAACAGTTAAATGACACCCCAGTATAGAAAAAGGAAATAAATCTGATTGTATGGAGGCAGCTTAGTAATTTAAATCAAAATTAAAGCACTTGAATGCAACTTCCTCTATGATCTCACTGCTCTCTTTAACTGTAACCTCCTTTCAATACTGTGTTCTTCCATCTCTTAACTTGTACGCTTCCCACTTTGCTCCCTTGATGGTGTCCACGCCGTCAGCTGTCTCAGACATTAGTTCAGGAATTCCACATCGGAACCTTTTTGCCTCTCTCTCCTCTTCTAAGATGCTGCTTTAAACCTGCCTCATTGAACAAGTGTTCGTTGTCAATTTCTGTCTGATTACACTGCTCTGAAGTACGCTGGATCAATTTTACTACAGTATCTTAAAGTATATAAATTCAAGTTGTTGGTTGCATTTAATTGCATTTGAAAGTTTAGATCAAATTTCTTGAGGCAACAGTGTGAAAATGACTTCTATGTTGAGCCATATTTCTCTGTTCATTGGTTAGGAATGGCCACAGACTCGTCAGACCTCCATTACTTACCTGGGCCCAACAGAGAGACCACCAGAGCAACCAGAAGAGAAATTACCAAGGCCCAATCTCTGGCAAAGGATACTAAGGAGACTGGAATCGTACTGGGCCACTCCTAAAGAGGGTGAGATGCTCAAATGCTACAAACTTTATAGCTCTCAGAAGACTGAGGTATTGTCATCTTGTCATATAGACATGGGATGAGTTTGCAATTAATTGTATGCATTTCAGGCAGGAGTGTAAATGTTGTGTATCCATGCATTGAGGAGAAGCACATTTCTTAATTTTTATTTTGCCTCTCATTTTGATTTACACCCTGTAGCACTAGCAGTGAGAGTGCATAATCTGTTGCTATAGGTTGCCTGGCTGGTCACAATGCGGAAAATAAGAATTTGGAGTCCATTATTAAGGATGAGGTTGCATGGTAAAATAGGGGTGAGTTAGCACAGCTTTGTCAAGGGGAGGTCATACCTGACAAATCTATTAGAATTCTTTGAGGAATTAATGAACATGTTAGATAAAGGAGAGCCGATGGATGTGAACTATTTGGATTTCCAGAAAGCCTTCAATGTTTCTGCTGTGCCTCCTGAATTACCTCCAGAAACTCCTGCCATTGCTGTTCCACTGTCCTCCTACTAGGCTGCCCTTCCTATCACCTTTGGCCAGCTCCTCCCTCATGTCTTTGTAGTTATTTTTCCTCAACTGTAATATCATTAATCTGATTCCAGACTCCCTCTCAAACTGCAGGGTGAATTCTATCATATTATGGTCACTGCCCATTTGGGGTTCCTTCACCTCAACTCTCTAATCCAGTCTTTCTTATTACACATCACCAAATCCAGAATTCCTATTCTCTCATGGGGTCCAGCATAAGCTGTTCCAAAAAAACCATCTTGCAGACTTCCCACGAATTTCTTTTTTTTAGATTTGCTACCAACCTAGTCCACCTGCATATTGAAGTTCCCATTATCATTCTAATAGTGTTTTTCTCACATGCCTTTTCTATCTCCTGATTTATTTTCTGCCTCACATCCTGACTACTGCTTGAAGGCCTGTACATCACTCACTGTATTAAATTCTAGTCTGTCGCTCATTTTTGAGTATTTGCCATTCAACATGTAAACACCCTGAACTGCTTGACTTAGATTCAAGACTCAAATACTCCTGGGAATAGCCTGTGTTAACAAGGAGATCTTGTGCTACATGGCTCTGCCTCTAGGCCAGAAACTCCAGGTGTGAGTCCTACCCTTGGACTTGATGATCAAGGAACATGTGTTCATAACACTGGTAAACTAGTTGAGTATCAACTTATAAATTCTTTTAAAAGAAGGCAATGACATACTTTAAGAGTCAGTGTCGTTCCTGGTCAGCTATGGTGAAAAGAAAACTGAAGCCTTAACCGTCACTATCCATAACTTCAGACTACAACATGAATGTAAAAGTGTTTTTTTGCCATGTAAATCTGACCGTCTGAGTGAACTACCTCATTAGCAGTAGCAAAGTGCAAGCTGCAATTTAAATCCTACTTTTCCATTAAGATATGTGGTGAAGTCCCAAATTAGGAAGTAAAATTCAGTGTTTATAGAGTCATAAAGATGTACAGCATGGAAACGGACCCTTTGGTCCAACTCGTCCATGCCGATCAATATCCTAAATTAATCTAATCCCATTTGCCAGCATTTGGCCCATATCCCTCTGAACCCTTCCTATTCATATATTCATCCAGATGCCTTTTAAATGTTGTAATTATACCAGCCTCCACCACTTCCTCTGGCAGCTCAATCCACACACGCACCACCCTCTGTATGAAAAAGTTGCCCCTTAGGTCCCTTTTAAATCTTTCCCCTCATACCTCAAACCTATGCCCTCTAGTTTTGGACTCCCTCACCCCAGGGAAAAGACCTTGACTATTCACCCTATCCATTTACGTTGTGAAAACCCATTGATGGACACAAATGATTAGCAACATGGAATGGTCACGAAACTGAATTCATGTTGTTTGACTCTGACTCTATGTCATCTTCCTTTTTCCTTCCCATCTCTACTATGCCAGGACGGGAGTATAGCATATTCCCTGGGTTTAGAAAATGTTAATTCAGACAAAATGGAAGAGAATGAAATAGTTCTGCCTGTAAATGGTTTGTCTTTGAAAAATAATGCTCAGAATTTTCATTGAATTTCCTAACCTGACTACAGTGATGCTGATGCCAATGGAGCCAAAGCACTGGAAGGAAGTACAGAAAACAGCAGTGGAAGTAACCATCAGCACGCTCAACAAGCAGACAGACCTCAAGGTGAGAGTGTTATTATGAGGCAGTTGACCTAACAGAGTTAACTCGCAAGATTTAGAAAAGCTCCACCCACCTGTGTATAAATTGGGAGGAACTAGTTTGTTCTAAGTAGTTGCTCAAGTATGTTACTGGTTGTTTGTCAGTTCTATGGTCTACTGCCATGTATCGTAAGCCTAATTACCATCTGTTAGAACATTGAACTGTACAGCACAGTACAGGCCCTTCGGCCCACGATGTTGTGCTGAACTTTTACCCTAAACCTAAGGTCTATCTAACCTCCACCCTACCTTATACTGTCATCCATATGCCTATCTAATAGCCGCTTAAATGCCCCTAATGAGGCTGACTCCACTACCCTCTCCGGCAAATGCATTCCATGCTCCTACCGCTCTCTGAGTAAAGAACCTACTCTAATGTCTCCCCTATATCTACCTCCACTCACTTTAAAACTATGCCCCCTCACAATAGCTACCTCCACCCTAGGAAAAAGTCGCTGGCTATCCACTCTATCTATACCTCTGATCATTTTGTACGCCTCTATCAAGTCACCTCTCATCCTTCGTCGTTCTAAAGAGAAAAGCCCTAGCTCTCTCAACCTTTCCTTGTAAGACTTTCCCTCCATTCCACGCAACATCCTGGTAAATCTCCTCTGCACCTTTTCCAATGCTTCCACATCTTTCCTGTGATGAGGCGACCAGAACTAGACACAATACTCCACATATGGCCGAATCAGGGCTTTGTATAGCTGGAGCATAACTTCACAGATCTTGAACTCAATCCCTCTATTAATGAAAGCTAACACACCATACGCCTTCTTAACAACTCTATCCACCTGGGTGGCAGCTTTCAGGGAACTGTGGACATGAACCCCAAGATCCCTCTGCTCCTCCACACTGCCAAGAATCTTGCCGTTAACCCTGTATTCTACTTTCAAGTTTGTCCTTCCAAAATGAATCACCTCACACTTTTCAGGGATAATCTCCATCTGCCACTTCTCAGCCCAGCTCTGCATCCTATCGATGTCCCTTTGTAACGTAGAACAGCCTTCCGCACTATCCATAACTCAACCCACCTTTGTATCGTCCGCGAACTTACTAATCCATCCTTCCACTCCTACATCCAAATCATTTACAAAAATCACAAACAGGAGAGGACCCAGAACAGATCCTTGTGGTACACCACTCGTAACTGAGCACCATGTTGAATATTTTCTGTCCACTACCACCCTTTGTCTTCTGAGGGTCAGCCAATTCTGAATCCAATCTGCCACATTTTCCCCCATCCCATGTCTCCTTACTTTCTGCATGAGCCTACCATGGGGAACCTTATCAAACGCCTTACTTAAATCCATGTATACCACATCCACTGCTCTACCTTCATCCACGTGTTTGGTCACCTCTTCAAAGAATTCAATAAGGTTTGTGAGGCATGAGCTACCCCTCACAAAATCCATGCTGACTTTCAAGAATCAAACTGTGCCTATCCAAGTGATCATAAATCCTATCTCTCAGAGCCCTTTCCAATAACTTGCCCACCACTGAAGTAAGACTAACTGGCCTGTAATTTCCGGGGTTATCCCTATTCCCTTTTTGAACAAGGGACTGATGTTTGTTAGGAGATAACAATGTCTGTTATGTAGAGTTAATGTATTTAACTAGTCTTAGGCCAATGAAACCTGTTAATAAACTACTCATTCTCATGTGTGTGCCTCTTCTGCTGGAGATTTATTTGTAGTTCATCCTTCACAGCATAATGCTGGTGACGCATGCAGGCTAGTTTTTGAAGGAAGATTTGTTGCAGCAAATCTACTCAACAAACATCATAAGACCATGTGCCAGCTGTGACATCTACAGATGAGAGTGGTTATTGTCAGTACCAGCTGCCAGGAACTGACTATGATGGAGGACTCGATTCGCTCCTATTTTACAGTCAGTTCTGCAATAACACATGCATCGCGAATTGGCTATAACGTGACTGACGAATAGGAGAAAGCTATTTCTAAAACGCAAACTTGTGTTGGCAATAACATGATTCCATCGGGATGCAGAGGAATACGCGTCGACATCACATGGTTGTTTCGCAGGCTTTGTCGTGAAGTGCTTTCTGTGAGAGGTACAGTACTCCAGGAAAGTGGAAGCTGGTGATGAAGTAGTAGTAGTCCAGGATGCAGCACCATGAGAGCTTTCCACTTCTGTTTTGTCTTATTTCCTGAGGGAAATTGAGAGGCAGTTGCAGCCCTTAGAGGACAACGATTACATTGCAGAATGCTGCAGGGTAGCAGTTTGTGGAATAAGATCTTATTTGACACCCTATGAACAGCTTCTTCAAAGGGCGGCGTGGTGGCTCAGTGGTTAGCACTGCTGCTGCCTCACAGCACCAGCAACCTGGGTTCTATTCCACCCCCGGGCGACTGTCTGTGTGGAGTTTGCACATTCTCTCCGTATCTGTGTGGATTTCCTCCAGGTACTCTGGTTTCTTCCCACAGTCCAAAGATGTGCAGGGTAGGTGGATTAGCCATGCTAAATTTCCCATAGTGCCCAGGGATGTTTAGGTTAGGTGGGTTAGCTGTGGGAAATGCAGGGATAGGGGAATGGGTCTGGGTGGGATGCTCTTCGGAGGGGCAGTGTGGACTTGTTGGGCCGAATGGCCTGTTACCACACTATAGGGATTCTATGAAAGAGGAAAAAGGGCAAAGCAGCAAAAATTGGATGTCTTTTTTAAGCCAACCCCTAAGAAATAGTCAGAAGACAATGAACCACAGCCATCCACTTCTGGATTGACTATTTTTTGTCCTAACCCTGCAACCACAACTGTACCTGAAGGTGGTGGTGGTGGTGATAATGATGACGACAATGACCCTCAGCCCCTGCATTAACAACAGAGCAACTTCAAAACCTTCTTCCCCATCAAGTCACCTTGACATTTTTTAAGGTAGGGTGTTAACTTTACTTTTATTTCATTATTAGACAATGAATTAAACATTTATTCAAACTGTGCTATTCTTTGTGTTAGGCTTTTGAGTGATCTTTGAGCAATTTTGAGTGATTTTTTTGGTGGCCTGCCCCAACCTCACTTTTCCCATAGGCCCTATTTCTATAGCGCGATTTTCTATAATGTGATGTTGCACAGGAATGCAACTGTACTGTTATAGTAGAACCGATTGTAATTTATCAAAAAGGTTACTTTCATATTTGGAAACTTCACTGTATAATCATAGAGATTATATGCCTATGGGGGAAAAACTGTTAATCAAATCAACGGAGTGTATAAAGTTGCACGCTCAAGATTTGACTCATTTAGGGTTTCAGTGGCAGCAAGCCAATCTGTTATAAAGTTGGGAAATCAGAAGATGACACCGCTACTTCCACCGTCTATTATTTTAGGGAGAGTAAGAATTCACTATTCCTGCACTTGCAGAGTATCTGGAACCACACTTAAAGAATGGTCATTTGGATGAGACAGCAGAGCATGGCTACCACAGCAAGATTCAGCATCTTGAGAGAAGGCAAAGGAAAAAAAGTTGAGCATAAACAAAACAAAGTTAATACTGTTCTGTTTCTGAATTCATAAGAATTAATAAAGAGTTGTTGGTCCATTGGATTTCATCCTCAAATGATCCTGTTACCTAATCATGTGAAATAGGCAATTTACGTCTGTTTTACCTTTGCTTCCTGTGGAACCAGATATATTTCATGTGAATTGGGAATGGAGGAAATCATGCATAGGCTGTAATCTCAGCTCTCTACTAGCTGTAGTACTAACGGTTTTTGTACAGTTAGGTTTCCAGTTGTATTGGAAGCATGAAATCTCTTTTCCCAGCTTTGCGTTCCAGTAACATTCTTCTTTGTCAATTAAACATATGATGAGGCTAAAATATTCAGACAGAAATTCTGAGTAAGCAATTCAATAGAGCAAGGAAGATCCTGCTAAATGTATCTTTTGCTTTTCTACAGCGTACTGAAGATGCCATGAACATTTGTATAGAACCAGATACTATTAGCAAGCGGCAATTTGTAGCTACGGGGTAAGTATCAATTGTCTGTCATTCACCTGTTAAATCATTTGCTGATTCAGAGCTCAGTTTTTAGAAGAACTTTGTGAGAAATGTTATCTTGCCATTGTTGATAGCAACTCCAAGTTTACCATAAAATGAACAGTAATAGTTAAAACTTTTCAATAAATGATATATATTATTTTAAAAATTACTTCCTCCTTCCCAGAGCTCATGACAGAGCCTTGTGGTTTTGTCTGCACTGACGGATGTGGGGGTGAATGCAGACCTGAAATTTCATGTATAAATACTGAGCATCAACCTGACTTCCAGTTCTTTTGCTTGAAAAACTCCCTGTGGAGAATGTGTGGCAAAACCAAAGCCGATGTATCACTGGCAAATCACTGCTGCATCAATTTTATGACAATTTCACATTTCAGTATTTGGTGTACTTTTTTCCATAAAATAACAGTGTAGGAGCTTAGATACTTGAGTGCTAATAATGAAAGTAGATCATGCTCCATTTCCCACCCCATCCTGAACAATGTTGTCAATTTGTTCACTCCATTGCATCAAAGAATAAATGTAGCATTATATGAGGAGTAGAAAGGAGCTACTACTTGTGTGTTTTCCATAAAAACAATGGTGCCTATTTAATTAAATAGAACCCATTATCTGGACATAATTAATAATTAAACAAACAGCCAGGACAGAACCAAACAGAGTGCAATGGAAATCTGAAATTTTAATGGAAACATTAAAATAGATCAATTTGCATCTGAAAAAGACAGGTTGATAATTTGAATAGAAGCTTTCATGCAAAATGACAGTCTCATCCTTTACCAGATTTAAAACAAAGGGTCAGAGTTTAAAACTTAAAGAAGTAGCCAATGGATTTAATAGTTTGAAAATATTAAGATGCATTATTTTGGCACGTGTGAATGTGCAATTTCTTAAACCACAATTTTTGTTGGAGGCAATAATTTATGTAAAGTGGACCTATAGATATGTTAGGAACACCTAGAAAGGTGGTCAGTAATTTGTTAGAAAGAGGCAAGACAAATCAAGCATGGTTCCAAAATAGTAAGGAAAATTAGAAAATATCAACTCCTTTTATAAAATCACAGTAACAGATTCATCAACCACACGTGGTTTAGTACTATTTCTAAATCTTGTGACCTTTGGCGATGATTTTACAATGAATCAGATAAGTACAATGTTGATAACTACCCCTGCACCCTTCCCCATATGAGTTGGAAGGTGAGAAATTGTGTCGCTGTCTATCGGTTGGTCTTTTGGCTAATTGCACACATTTCTTGCTTGACCATTAACAGGACTCAGAAGTTAACTGATCCACTCCTATGTCCTGAAGGCAGCCAAGTTCTCCAAGCCAGTTTCTGTAAACTACAGCTACCCCAGGTAAGATCTCACTTTCTGACCTGAACGTTTTAAAAGAAAAGGTATGAGTGTTCCCTGTATTCACTTCTTTATCTCACTTCAAGAATGTAGTGAGTGTTAACCTGAACTCCCTATAGCATTAAGCTCTGCTCCTCATTAGTAATAGTTTTAAGGGTGTGTGGAAAGGGGGTTGGGGAGTGGTAGAAATAGCCTATCTAGTGGGGTTAGAAATAGCTTGCCTAACAACATCTCAACCTCACATTTTCATGACCTTTCACATTCCATTGACTTCTCGCAGGTTGAAACCTGTCATTTATCTCAAATTTTAGTTTACTAAAGTCTTCCTTTTCACAATAGCTCAATTGCCAATCTAACATCAGAAGTTAGTCAGTAATCTCTTGAATCACCCCCATAAAGAAAACCTTCAAAATGTCTGGCATTCGAATTTCTCTGCATTGACCATTGCTGGATGGCTGAAGTATAGAAATGACATTGTGTCTTGGAGTGTATATGATTCCAACATAACCTGCCAATTTCTTGTACAAGAGAGTTGGACCCAATCTGAATGACGGAAGCATTATTTTCTTTCTTTCTTCTCAGGGAACGAAAGGTTTCTTCAGTATAGATAATGAAGACTATGAGGCTGTCTCTGTTGATGTGAAACTACTTCCCCGAAAACTCAGGTTTTTCTGTGATTCTATCAAAAAGCAACAGCTACAATAATTGCAGACACACAACATTCAATATCCCTCAGCTGATATACTGATTTTACCTGTTTACTCAACACATCCGTAAACATTCTTCTATTACCCTTTTAATTTTGCTGAATCTAATTTTATGTTCCGAAGCACATATTTTCATTTGACATTCTTAGATTTCTGAGACAAGCAGAAGTTAGAGGTTTGGAGTGCAAGAGGACACTGATTTTAAAAAAAACTTGTATTTTCCAAACCAAAACTGCCCAGTATTACCTGGGATATGGAATGTTCTTGAAGATATTTTTCAACAGCTGCTATTGCTTGGAAATCGGTTTTACAGGATGAGATGAGTTTCCTGCTATTGTTAATTTTCACACCACCTTCTTGAACAGATGTCTAAGCCTCTCCAGAACTCTACTAAGAAGGAAATGCAACTGAATCGAAGTTTTCAAATCAGGAATTATGATCAGTTAGTTATACAGAGCTGCAGTAGGTAGTAACCCATTCTCTAGTGTCTGTCCGAAGAGCTTATTGTTTATATAAAAGGAACTTGCATTGGTAATGATGCTCACATTTTTGGAATGCTTTGAAACAATTTGCAATTAATGAATTATTCTTGAAAGATGATCAGTTTTGTTTTGTAAAAATGAAACTCAATTTGATAGAATAAGGTTCCACAAATTACAAATGAAATCTGTTTTGAATATTCTGAATATTTGTTGGAACATATCAGTTTTCATAGAGATCTTTTACAACACCTAAACAAGCTGAGAGAAAGCTAAACATTATATGAACACTGGCCAGTATAATGTTTGTTTTATTGTAATTTATATAAGTGAAACAGAAAAATAATGTTACATTTTTGCAAGCTGGCACATGTTATTTAAATTGGAAAATGCTGGAAATAGCTATCAGGTAAGATCTCCGTCCACACGTGTTCCCTGACCTGCTGGATATTTCTAGCATCTTCTGTTTGTATTTAAAATTTCCAGCAATCACAGTATTTTCCTTTTTTAGATGTTAAACCACTGGTACTGACCAGAACAGGATGTGGGCTAAAATATACCAAATGTTTGAATGAGTTTATCTGATAGTACTGTGTTTGTGATGATGCTGATTATTTCGTGGCTGGCTATTACTTCACTGTAAATTTGTGTAAACAAGCATTGTTTAATAATACCTTGTATATGAGAACACTGTTTTGTGTGTGGGATTCTCTGACCTGTAAGAATGGTGTGTGTGTGTTGTGGGTGTGGAGGGAAGGAGACTGTAACAAAACTTCTGTAAAGCCAGATTCTGTACCTCTGAAATTCTCTCTGGTGCAAAAAAATTCTAATTGTTGCTGTGTGCAAGTTAATGTTATGTAGCAGAATGCTGATTTAAGAGCGTCATGGTTGTATTCACTAAGTCTGCCTGGAGAGAGATACTAGAAGCATTCTTACATACCTTCTAGCAGCCAGATTAAAAGCAACATGGGCTGAGATCAGCCTTTAGAAAAAAATCGATGTTTAATTTTGTCTTAAGTATGGGTGTGGTTGTTTTTCAGAGCAAGACGCCCTGACCTTACCAGTGGGAAAGCCAGTCAGTCAGGTCCCTGCACAAGTGTGCCATTCCTTCTCAAACTGCTGGCCAATCAGAAATTGGCAGCCACTGGGAGCAGCAGCTAAGACCTGGGCTGCAGTCTGTACAGCAGCATTGAAGGTCGGGACCAGCAAAAACACCATGCTTTTTCAGGGAGACAGACATGATAATGAGGAGGGGTGGATTGAGAGATCAGTGGCCATATTCCTGCCTCTCCATTCAGTCATTTGCCCAGATTGTAACAAGTTGAAGTACCCCTAAGCCTGGCAGGAAAGCTGCCTCTTTCTTGCCTGCTGGAAATAGATAATTAGGCCAATGGCATGTTGAGGTCCTTAAATGGTTGCTAATTGACCAGTTAAGGGCTTAATCTGTTACAGTGTGGGAAAGTTGTCAATGAACATTCCTGCCCAGCACTTAATTGCAGAGGTGACAGAAAGGGGCAAGTATCTTCCTTGTGTCAACCAGCCCAATTATTTCTCTTTTCCTTCCATAGAAATGGTATAGTGCCCATAGTGTTTATTTATCAACTCATAGCTAAATTCTGTATGGCTAGGAAGAAGTCTTTCAAATTGTTTTGTCGCCACATCATCCACGCCACTTACATGGTTACTGGTTCAGACTTTGATATGAGGAAGAAGGATCCTTCCCTTGTTTCCAATGATTTTGTGATCATTCATAATGAATATATAAATTAGAAGAAGGAGTAGGCTACTCAGCCACTCAGTGAGATCATGGGTTGATTTAATTAATCCACAATGCCACACACCCCTGACAATTTCACATTTTCCTTTGTTGTACTCCATTTGCCACAACTTTACCCATTACTTAATTTACTTGTACACCAGCAACTTGAGCAACCATTTATATAAGTTGTAAAGTGTTACATCTTGCTAACCAGAAAATGACCCATTTATGCCGACTGTTTCCTGTTGGCTAGCCAATTTTTTTTTAATCTATTCCAATATTTTACCCCTTCAACTATGAGCTTTTTGGTTTTGGTTTCACTTTTCACAATAACCCTTGATATGGCACCTAATCAAATGCCTTCTGGAAATGTAAGTATAGTATATCCACCAGTTTCTTTTTTTTAAATCCATGGTGTATGTTACTTCCTCAAAGAACTTCTTCAAGTTGGATAAACATAATTTCCCTTTCATAAAATCATGTTGACTCTGCCTGATTATCTCGAACTTTTCTAGTGTGCCTGTTGCAACCCCTTTAATAATGGCTTCTAACAATTTGTCTTTGTCAGGTGTTAAACCATCTAACCTGCAATTTCTTGTCTTCAGTCTTTTTGAATAAAGGACTTATGTTCACTAATGTCCAATCTAATGGAACCTATCGTGTATTTCTAAAATTTTGGAAAATTAAAACCAATATATCAACTATCTCACTGATCACTTCTTTTAAGAACCTAGGCTGAAATCCATCAGAATCTAGGGGCTTGTCAGCCTGTAGCTCCAACAATTTGTTCAGTACTGGTTCACCAGTGATTATGATTTTCTTGAAATTCCTCTCTCCCTTTCATTTCCTGATTTCCAACTATTTCTGGAATACTCTGTCTGCCATCTTATTTTTCATTATTTCTCAGAATCACTTTCTAAATGCTCACTTTGGCTCGTCTTTCTATTTCAAATAGTTATAGAAACTCTTAATATCTTTATATTTCTAGCTAGCTTTCTATTGTACTGAAATGTTTTCCTCATGAATCTTGCCACTCTGCTTTTGCTTTAAGTTTGGTACCATCTTTAACATGTTTAGTTAACCGCAGACAATGATCCTGTCCTTGCAGTTTTTCCTTCTTGTTGGAATAAATCTATTCTGTGTATTCTTAAATGTCTGTCACTTTGCCCTCCAAAATGCAGTTGTTTTAAGTTTAAAATGTTAGTCTTAGATCTACTGTTTCCTTCCTCAAACTGAATGTAAAATTTATAACTATTATAATTGCCTGCACCCAGGAATGTCTTCACAATGAGGTTATGAATTAATCCTAACTTTTGCACAATGTCAGGTCTCGGACGGCAATGGCAGGATATATCCTGCTCCCTGCTTGGCTCCAGAATGTGCTGTTCCAAGGAACTGTCCTGAAAAGCATTCAATGAACTCCTTATCTTGGCTACCTGTGCCCATCTGATGTGTCCAGTCTGTATATAGATTAAAAAACATCATGACAATGACCAGACCTTTCTGATAAGATCCTATTGTTTCTTCTGTATACTCCATCCTACTGTGTGATTACAGTTGGAATCTGTACACCCCATCCACAAGTGACTTCTTATCTTTAGATAGACATGAGAAATACAAACCATTCTTACATCTTGGTTTCTAGCACTTAAGGCATTAAGGATATGAGTCAAAGGTAGGTATATAGAGTTAGGCCACAGATCAGCCATGATCACATTGACTGGTGGAACAGGCTCAAGGGGCTGATGGCCTACTCCTGTTCCTATGTGCTTGGTTCATCTTTCTTTCCATTTTGTCTGGATAGAGGTATTTAGCCCTACAGGTACTTGAATTCTTCAGGCTGTTACGTGAAAGACATGTTGATAATTTGAGTGTGGGCTATCAAAGCAGCTTGCAGATCACAGATATCTAAATCAGTGTCTGCCTAACTTTGTTAATAGGAAGTATCTGAGAAGTCTGCACTGTGACCAAACATATTGAGATATTTCACCTGTTGGAATCTGACCTGCAGACTCTATCCGTTAGCAACAATAGCCCAGATAATCTGATGGCCAGAGAGTTGTTGGAGCAGCCTAGACTACACTTGTGTGTTGGGACTGTTTGGAATCCTTGAATCAGCTTACTCTGAATTGTCCAGGATTTTTAAGTTTTCTGCTGGGGAAAAATATAATTCCCCTATGTATGGAGCCCCTTGAGTTTATTAAAATTGGAGAATTCAGAGAGTTCCAACTCACTTAAGCTTAATATTTACCCAGGAAAAGTTATTGTAACTCCTGGGTTACTACTAAACTGACCCCTTACTCTCTGTCAACTGCACCTACCTAAATCCATTAGGACTCTTGACAACTACAACCACCACCTCCCCTCACCCCTGACCAACTGTTCAGCCCAACAATGCTTCAAGATGACCGATAGGAGACATGGATATCTGCTTCAGCCTTGGCTATTTATTTCTGATATCAAGCAATATCAGATGTTGAAAACATATACAGTCCTCAACAGTTGAAAACATCCAATTGCTTGTATTAGCTAAAATTCATTAACTATTTGGATTAACATCAATTTCCAAGTTACTGCTTATTAATATCTTTCATGCTGCATTTATTTTGTACAGCTTAAGCAAGCTTCTCACTAATTTATATTTCAGTAGGAATACTGACATGTAAATAATACCTTGATGTTCATTACTAATTAAACATGCTGATCTAATGGGGAGAATTTGTCTATTAGGAACTAAGAAGAACAAAAAGAGAACTTTACCTTGGTATTTTTACTTTTACATGGCATCATGTTCATAAGTCTGATAGAAGTCTTCTTTAAAGCAGTTGATTCAGTGTGATGATGCTGGAGTATTTTTGCAGGTACATTCAAAACCTACTGACATCTGTGACTGTTGCAAAATATGTATAAAAATTAGCAACTTTTTTTCCCATTTGTTCTTCAGTTTTGGGTAATTTGATTTAGAAACTTTGTACTTTGGGAAATGTATTTTGTTATGCAAGTATATCTATTTTTAAAAAAACTGCCTAAAATTTAGCCAAAATGCCAGAGACATGGACAGAAACATTAACAGCAAGCTTAAAGATTTCCTCGTGGTAAATGTCTTTCCCTGTTTTGGCTGTTACATTAATACATTTACCTCCTTTGAATTAGCCTGATTGTTATAAGCATTGAAGACTGTACAATTAAACATATGAAGAACAATTCAGCAAATTATTGGAGTTTGCTTGACTTGCTTTGCTGGATGAGTCACAGAGAGCCCTCTAGTACATCAGTGGTCTCCTTACGAAAGAATTGAAACTTTAATCTGGAAATGAAAAGGAAGAAGGTGGATGGAAAACGAAAGTCTCTGGATGAAGGAGAATGGAAAAGTTCGGAACTAGTACAAGCCAAGATATTGCAACAACATTGCAGGATATCAATGATTTTTCTGCTGGAAAGCATGTTCTTCATTTGCATTGAATAAAAAGCCCTCAAGTATTTCTTGCCTTGTTGTCAGATGGCAAATCATCAATTTTGATACCATGAATGTTCCCAAAATTTGTGACTTTTTTTTTGCAGTATTCTGGTATACAATGTTTTTGTACTTCTTTGTCTTGGCAAATCTATACCAACACTACTAAAATCGACTGTATAGCCATTTTTCACATTGGTGTTTATGGGCCCTTGTGTTAACTGATTACCAGCATTTCCACATTCATTACAACAGTAATCACATTTCAGGAAATACTTCATGAAGTGGAATGGCCTGATGTTATGAAAGAAACCATATCAATCCAAGCTCTTGTTTGTTGAGATTTCTTTTCCATTTAATGCACTTACATTTTGTTTTATTGACCATCCATATCCAACAGAATTAATTTGACAAATTACAAACAACAGACTTTGGTTAATCAAATCACTAAAATAAATAGAACTTTCTTTAAGTTACATGAAAAGATCCCAGCTTTTATAGTGTTATATTCTAGCTATAGGAACTAAAGGTGACAGGGAGCATGTCTTAGTGGACTCCATTCGGTTTGGACCATCCTCTCCTTTGAATTAGGTTTCAAAATACCATTACCAATTATAAGACAAAACATTATTTCACAGTGTAAACAACATATTGTGGGCATGTACATGTACACACTTTCACTTTAATCATTTAGCTTATACAATGTCTGACTCTCAGAATACAGAGCTTTATGTAGTCCTTGCTGTCACAGTTCCTTTTTGTCTTTTACTTCAGTACACTGAACCCAATAATTGATCCTGTGTTGGAACAGTTCAGCAGAGAGGTGCTTGGTCCAAATCCAGGGAATGAATAGCGCTCAAGGACACGACTTTCCCATAAAGCTTCTAACTTAAAAAAACAGTTAGTGTTAGAAAAATTAAATTACCACAAGCATTTTTCTAAAAATGAAACCTTGCACCAAATGGAGTAATTGGAATGTGTATCTCAGCACCTGAATCTCTGCTCACTAAGATGTGCTGTACCTAGTAATGTACAATTCCAAAGTGATCAGAACTGGATTAATATCTGAACCTCCTGATAAAGTGAGGTCCTAATCTCAGCTGACTCTGCCGAAAAAGAGTTGACCATGATTGAAGCACTTCTTTCACAGAACTGGGAAGGTAAGAAAGAGATTGGTAGTGACATCTTATGTCCATGTTGTCATTATTGTGCAATTTCTAAATGCTAGTTAGAGTAGCAAGCATGCCATTCATTTGAGTACTTAGCTGCTGAGGAATAACAGATGGTAAAGGGGTGAGAGAAAACCAGGATTCCAGATTTGACTGATCCCATCACCATGGATTGACTTCCAGAGGATATTTGTTAACACTCTCAAAGTTGAGCAGGTCGAAAGCAAATACTGAACTGACTTGTTCAGCAGTTGGAGTGCTTCTAAAAGACTAGAATTCTGGAATTTCTTTTTGCTTGGAATATGTAAACTAAGAGCCACCTAGTGATCATGCTAGTATTATAATTTGTCTATTTAAAATACAGTATTACAACTCTGCTCATGAGCTACATTACAGTGGTTAAAACATCAGTGCCCTTTTACCTGATACCTATTTCAATTCTCATAGTTACTTTATGATTCACCCTCAGCCTCTTGTAAATATTCTGTGTTGTTAAATCTCTTACTACACTAGTTGTCAGTCGAGATCTGAAAGCTTGAAAGATCAGCCCAGCAACATATGGTCAATACTGGATACAGCTGATTTTTCAGATGTACATAAGCTTGATACAGAAGGTGCAGACCTCTGAAGAGAACTGTGGTACAACAATTCAGTGTTGAAGATCCACAGGAAATAAAGCAAAAGCTTGCAAACTGAACCAATTTACAATTAGTCTTCTATTGCAAGCCAGCTGTTTGTGTTTTATTGCAAAATTTGATCTTTTTTGTATCTAGCAACAAGATTTATGTTGTAGATTGCAAAAAGATCTGCAGCACACTAATTCTCTCAAGCAGGATTCAATATTATGCAGTTTAGGCTGAGTGAGACCACTACAGAAAGAAAGATATTCAGACCCATCTTGTCACTTTGTGTTTAACAGCACACAGATGACTAGCTGAATAAAAAATGTAGTTATAATCCCTTGGATATGGACAGCTGCTGGACTTTGTTTGGTGAGCATCAGTGACATTTTCATATTTACAATTACCTCAAATATGGACAGATAGTCACTAAGAGCAACCAAAGAATGCTTAATTTAAGTGAAATGAAATTGGAGACTCCCTAATCTTATACTCTCCCAACCCAAGAACTCCTCAAAATACAATTCTCCATCAATTTACCACAGTCGATAACAATTCAATTTCAAATGCTACAAAGAGATGCAATTCAGACAATAGGCAGCATATTGATACAGACAAGTGGTCCTGCAGTTTGACAACATTGTACATTGTGATAATATACTTGGACTCTGGCTTCACTCCATGCACTTTGTACCTCATCCCTCAGCATCTTGGTCCTATTATCAAGCAGGCACTGGACAAAGTTTTCACTAAACACTTCTAGTTGCTCCCCCATTGACCAGTGCAAATGCATATTATCTACAGTACAAGATTATACTGATCAATTGTATGATTCAAGCCAACCTCCTGACAGTAAAATCACATTATAATCTTAAACCCAGTATTCTCTTATCTGACAGTGTGTTACACAGAGAATTACAGACTTTTCAAACATCATGGTGCAGTTATATTTCTGGTGTATCATGCTAAACTGAAAAGGACAAAGATTGTGACTCCTGAGTATTCACAGTAGAATTCAAAACCAAGTTTAAAAAGTGTCTGAAGTCGGTGTTTTTTAATTCACAAATTTACAAATGTCTCATTTTTCTTTCCATATCCCTCATCTTCCAGCATATTCCATGCCTGTTTTACTGTACACCACTCTCGAATAGTACTTTCTCCATCCTTTGCTTGTTTCTCCAACTCTTCCACAGACAAGGGTGTGACATCCTGCAGGTAATCTTTATCCAATGAGAAGTGAAAGCCAGATAGAGGCAAGGCAGACTTCATGCACGTCTAAATAATAAATATTCAATGGAACTGAGTTTTACTCCCCCTCAAGGCTTTCACATTAGATCGAGCACAGCTTTGAGGCAGCAGTCTTCTTTTTCTCTTCAACAAGTATTGCCGTATTGACAACCTCAAATTTGATGGAAAATTGATAAGAGAAAAAGTGACTATGCTAGATTCAGCCTTCTTTCCCATTAAGATGCCTTTCAAATGCCTTTTTTACTTCTTGTGAAGGAATTTCATTTTACTACCTAGAAATGGACAAACATTTGATTAACTTTCGCAACATTGAAAGCGTGAACATAAAACACACAAAATTAGCTAATATCGAGTTATGCAAGAAATGAAACTTTTAAGTTTTTGATGAAGACAGTTGGTAAACCACAAAAATGTGAAAATCACAAATGACTGAAAAAAACTGATTTGAGTCTTTTTGAAAAAGCCCTATTCCGTAAGCAAATGAAAATGCATTACCTAGGCCTCTAAGAAATCGGTTCATCCCTCTTTGTTCACTCCCAGGAAGAGATTCAAGGTAGTCCTGTGCTCTGACCTCAAATAACCCTGCAGATGACAAAAAATAGTTATACAAGGAATAGGTATAAGTGTGTCAGATACTACCTGGGTGTTTGGAATGCTGAATATTTCAGAGCATGCATCTCAATACAAGTGTTGCAATACACACAGTTCCTTCTACTTTTTCTTGCTTCTCCACTTCCCACATAGACATGTAGGTAAGGTTTATCTAATAATAACTGAAAGCTAGGTTGTGGTGAGCATACCAAAGGCAAGTCCATATAATAAATATTCAACAGAATTAGTCTTATTGCCCATCCAGGACCTCTTCTGCTTACTCTATTAAACTTGTGTCTTAAGGGTAAATTATACTTGAATGGTTCATTGAATCTGACCTCACCTCAGAAACATGATCTTTGGCAGAATCATTACAGTTCTGGGTATAGAGCAGTTTTTCCGCCGCCTCCGCCTCCACGCTTACTTCTTTAACCGTGAACCTAACCCTCCCTCTACTGACCCCTTCTCCCGCTTCCAACACACTCCCTCCTCCTGGACACCACCCCAAGGCTTCCTACCCTCCCTCGACCTCTTCATCTCCAACTGCCATCGAGACATCAATCGCCTCAACCTCTCCACCCCTCTCACCCACTCCACCCTCTCCCCTGCAGAACGTGCAGCCCTCCGCTCCAATACCAACCTCACAATAAAACCCGCAGACAAGGGAGGCGCAGTTGTAGTATGGCGCACTGACCTCTACATCGCCGAGGCCAGACGCCAACTCTCCGACACCACCTCCTACCGCCCCCTTGATCATGACCCCACCCCTGAGCACCAAACCATCATCTCCCAAACCATCCACAACCTCATCACCTCAGGTGACCTCCCACCCACGGCCTCCAACCTCAT